TATATATATATATATATATATATATTTTTTTTCTCCATCGTTCACAACTAATTGCTATCTCTTTGATCTTTTTCTATTTCAGAGGGAAAATTTTCTGTGATGTATCCCATGATGATCTTCTCACCCCGAAACGTATGCGTTGATTGCGGCAAGAGCTACAAGCGGATCGATTATCTTCAAAGACACAAGAAAGAGTGCTCGAGCGAGCCAAGTTTTGTGTGTCCGATGTGTAATCGTAAATTCAAACGAAAGTATCATTTGCAAAGGCATATGAATAGCATGAATCATCATTGATGTAATTGACACTGGGTGTAATCGATAACTGATCAATAAAGTCTCTAAATCTTTTGTCTCCGCAAGGATCAGGATTTCACGTACATAATTTCTCTTCACGCTTCTCATCCACTTTATACGATTATTTTGCCCTATCTTCGCTCATAAAATGCTCAATGTTTTCTTTAAAATTCCGTACATTCATCTTATCTTGGTACACTTTCGAAGCTTGGTTTTATTATTTTTTTTTTTTCTTACATTTTCACAAGACCCTGGTTCCTTTTGAAATTTTTCTATGCCCATTTTTATTATAGGGACAACGCGCTTTTTTTCCCTCCCTAAACTTGCTCCGCGTGTTACATTCGCTTTTACTCGATTTACTCGTTTTTCTTCGTTCTTTATATTTTCTTTTTTTTTCCGTCCGATCGTTGCTCTGTGCTTCACTGACTTTTTGTTTTATTTTTGCTCTTTTTTAGTGCCCAGACTCATCGTCAGGAACATCGAGAAGCTGAAATATCTGCGCAGACCGATAATCCACAAATGCTCCAGGTGCGGCAAAGGGTATCAACTAGAAACCTCCCTGAGGAGACATCAGAGATTAGAGTGCGGCGTGGAGCCACGTCAGAGCTGTCATATTTGTGGAAAAAAGTTTACCCACAGATTCAAGCTGACACATCATCTAGCGTCTTGTCGACGAAAGAAAGAATTATACGAAAGGTTATAGATATTCTGTTATTAACAGAATAAAAAGAAAAGATCCAAGCTTAAGAAACAGTCGGGATCAAATGAAGGAATACGCGCGATTTTATTAAATATGTTTATAAGTATTTTCCAAGGATATAATAAATTATTTAATCCTTTAAGAGCGAAGCCAAGTTAGTGGCTACCTTTCTGTCAATCCCCAAACAAAAATTTCGAAGGATTCCTTTGAGCATTGAAATAATCAACAGGGCCCAAGACCAACATTAGCCTATCTAGCTAACAACGTTTTCTAACCTTAGTTGGAATGTGATATTTCAAATAGGTCTTCATCTAACCGGATAAAGTCCGATCACTAGTTCCTCCTGCATCCTAGTGCATAAGATCCTTGATTCTACCACTAAGGGCAGGGGTGTCTACGGCCATTTTGAATTTCTCTAATTATTTTCTAATTTCGTTTCAGGGTTACTCGCTACAATGACATCGTCCCAGGACGTGCGTCGACTGAGTACTGAGATGTCCTGGATGAATCCTGATTTCCTTGGGGCTCAGCACAAGATCACCGGTAAATCCACATCGCGAAGGAAGGACTCCGATGCTAAGGATTCAAACGGTCATTTCATTTGCAACAGATGCGGAAAGTCCTACAGAGCCACGACCTCCTTGAGTCGTCACAAGCGTCTCGAATGCGGCGTTGTGCCTTGTGAAGTTTGTCCCATATGCAACAGAAGATTCAAGCACAAGTTTGTCCTGAAATCGCACATACTGGTTTGCGAGAGAAAATTACGTGAGATAATGCTTAAGAAAGCCGACTGAACGTGTCGGAAGAATGTTTTTTATAACTAAGCTTACCACGTTGTGTTTTGTATGACGGATAATTAATGATTTTAAAATGTGTTTTTTTTATCGACCCTACGTACGTTACATTAACGTAGCATAAAAATGGGGATCGATCACGTAGCTTACTGTTTCTTCGTAATGGGTTATTGACTTGAAAGGAATCTCGTCATAGTTTTTACGTACTTTTGTGTTTACTGTATAGTGACGAATAAATGTTTCATTCATACAGAAACAATGGAAACTTTTTACGATGCTAATCGACTATTTTTTTTCAATCAGATTTCTATTCTACGAACGTACTAAGGGACACGTGCGGATGGATCGACCTAATGTCTAAGCATTCAAGATGGAATTTCCGAGACTTGGGTGCTGGATAAGGGCGAGATACTTTTATGAAATAAAAACTTTTTTGAAGTATCACACGTTTAAAGGTGTATGCATTTTCCGTATCCGCCGATCGAATACCTCTTTCCTGGTTTTTGCTTTTGTTGTAGTTGATAATATAGTTTGGTACGGTTATTCGTTGAAGATATGCGCGCGCTTTGACAGTATTTCTCTATATAATTAATAAAATAATAATTAACGTTTTCCTTATCTTGATCAAGCAGGCTCATACAATAAAGTTATTCTAACTGTTGCCATTTTTTCATTTCTTTTTTGCAGACTCGACGTCCCAGCAAAGCAGCTCAGGACAGAAGTGCAAGATGGTTTACATAGTACGACCAAATTCACAACAGACTGTTCTTCCTATTGAGTTTGTCGACACTTCCGCCTTGCCACGTGAACAACCGACTACACCTAACAAGACGCCTGTCATAGCGAAAATTGAATCAGGAGTACAATTCGAAATGGGGGAATGGAAGACGTTGACCTCGAGGCCATCAACGTCCAGACTGCCCATCAGCAACGCAACTAAATTGACAGACTTGCATCTGTGCCTGAAGTGTAAAACTGGATTTACAAGTATCGACGGGTTGAGCCGTCATTTAAAATACGACTGCTCTACTACAGCGAAATCATACTCATGTTCAAAGTGCAAGAAATCATTTCAAAATCAAGTGGAGCTCAACAAACACATGCTGACCCATTCATACTTCGTCTAAAATCGATTTTCAGAAGAGAGAAAAAGAAAATAACATTTTCATACTATTCCATTATAATTTATAGTATCTTAATCATAGTGACCGGACCTGGTACTGAGTCATCTAACAATTATCCAATTTTTATTAATGCTTCCAAATTATTCTTACGATTAGATATTAATACTTTTGTAATTGGCAG